TTGTTTGGCATAATTGTTGGGCTTTCTTTCATTATTGTAGTATATTTATCTTTAGCACTGACACTATATAGACAAAACAATATTGAAACCAATGTGAAAACCACTCACATTTTTAATGTCAAAGTCCCTGAGGGTCCAGTCCTCAAGTGTTATTTCAGAGGTTGCTTTTACAATGATGTTGTCACACCGCTTGGTACCAGAACTCCAATACTGCTCACATTTTACCTGGAAAGGAAATGTTTTAGCTTTAAAAAAAACCTGCAAACATTGTAAAAATAACATTTACATAGGGCTGTTCGATATAACGATATATATCGGATGACGATATAAAAACATCTATCGTTTCATTTTACGCTATCGTTTGTTTCGTGGTGTCGCAAAATAAACTGTTTACGGCAATATTTTTTCATCGTTTTGATGGTCACTGTAGTGGCTATATTAATTTCTTAAAGTTCTCTCTTTCTCTTATATTTAATATAACCACACTACAGACGGACAAGCGCCTGTTTTTAACAACGACGGTAAAACCATCGCGTGTCAGCTTGTTTATACAAACCTTTCACAAGAAAGCTCGAGATCCTGTTGAGAATTTTCAAAATAAACTGAATCACATGAAATAGTTTGCAGAGTGTTTACGGATGAGAAGCTAAAAAGAGCTGTCAGAAGCTAAAAAATAAACCTTAAAACAGGCTTTTCACCGCAGCACGCCGTGTAATAAATACTCACAAAGAAAACAGCAGCCGTTACAACTTATGTCTAAAAATGTATAGTTTCATGCATCTGTTAAAACACTCGACTCCAGGTACACGACGCGCAGCTGGAAACACTTCACGCAAGTCAAGCTGCCCGAGATTCACAGAATTTACAGAAAATGTTACATTTTTGTGATTTATATCGTTATCGGGACGATAGATGTCTTATATCGGGATATGAGATTTTGGTCATATCGCACAGCCCTACTAGAGCTACAGGGGAACATCACATGACTGTATAGAGCATTATTAAATTTATTGCCAATGCAATCATATGGCACATTGACTTCTGAGGACATTTTAGACGGCACTCATCATCAAAAAGGTTGCCGACCCCTGATATAGATGGAAACATATGAATAGATCACAGGGATTCTAACTTTTTCCTCAGCTGTATTGTTTCATTCTTGGCCTCTATTAGACTCATTCTGAATGATCAAAATAACCCTCGTTTATCTGACACCTGGTGTTGATACTACCCATGTCTTAAACGGTGTCCCTTCGTGGTCACGTTCCCTTTATGACAACTTTCTTCTGATTAGCTGTCCATTGCAAACAAAAAGTTTGGGCAGCAAGTGGGTGGGATTACTGTGGTCACACTGATATCATACAGGACTTTGTATTTTCGCTATTTGGTGATTTTGTGTAGTTTGCATACATAGTCTGTGGAAATTCTGAATTTGTGAATACAGAACAAACAAATTCAGAGAAGAAAATACTAACAAGTCATAATTTTGTGCATGAAATATTGGTAAGTATGGTTAATGCAGGCATTTCTGGTGTATAGAGTGGGGTTATGTAAACGTGCCATTAAATTACAGCTTACATCCACCAAGATCAGATGATTGAAGTAGCAGCAGGAGAGGAAGGGGGAGAAAGAGGCAGTCGCTCCATATATCTATATTGGTTGTTAAGCTTAACATGGGAATGCTTTAACATTTACTAACATTCAGAGATGAACTTAAACACTTGCTTTACTTCTCTCTGGGATAACTTCCACGGAGATGAAATGCCGGGTTGGTAGCGAGGCTCCAAATGCTCAACCAGATCACCAACAGGTCTCGCACGCCACAGCCGCTCTATCACGTGCTCCAACGTGCTACGGTTATGAGCTGAGTTATGCCACGTCGCAAGTTTTGTGAGATTTAAGGGATCGGATTACATTTTTTATTTCTCTCCAATATTCGATACAGTAATTTAGGTCAGTATTGGACCGATTCAGACACGTAATATCGGATCAGTCTATCCCTACTGTAAACATGCTTGTCCTGCTAGTTGTGGTGTTTTTGTTAATACTCACTCGTCCCTGTTCATTACAGCGTGTCAGCATGACCAGAGTCTGCACATTCTTCTCCCAGATCATCCTCCAGAAATCGTTGACCGTGGTGGGTAAAGGACCTTGAGCTGCAATAAACTCCTTCCTCGAGTTGTAACCCTGCCAAATAAAATGTGAGCTCAACCACATGAAACGGCAAGTTGGATTTTTCTGAGACGTTTTTCAAAGCAGAGTTTACATGAAGGCAGAAACGTTTAACAAATGGCAATGTCAAGAAGCAAAGTTATATTGCTCAGTAGGATGCTTGCTGATGCTGCAATGACTGTGGCAGAGAGCTGCCTCAAAAAGTGTCAGTACGCACCGGCATGTAGTTAGCATTGATGTAATCATCAGACGGACTTCCATGGAGAATGGAAAGTTTCACCCTAGAAGAGTCATCTAGGAGGTGAACAAGAGGGTAAATGAAATGTAAGAGATGAAATTAAAGGGAAATGTAATGAGCATGAAAGGAATTAAAAATTATTATTGTTAAAAAAAAAAGTATTAGAAATTATTTTCCTACACTGTTATGCATTAATAGATGCATGCTATTGTTTGGTTCAAGGCACAAACTAAAATGGTAGCAGATGCTGTAAGGCAGGCAATGATACTGTTTAAAGAGTGAGGGTGTTATGGTCAAAGCAGCAGAGATGGATTTGTTAAAGTGACTCACATGGAAGCACATTGTTGTAGCGATTCTTAGGCTTGTTCTCCACATTCAGTGCATGTAACTTTGACTGAGCTGTGCCAACAACCTTCAGGTCCTTTAAAATACAGAGAAAAAAAGTTGGTGGCTACATGTGGAGTACCAGAGAAGCAAATGAAACTTTTTCCGGGTAGTTTTTCTTTTTTTTGCCCTTTGCATTACATTTCAGTATTATTTTGGCTCATTCTGGTAACAGTAATTACATTTGATTTTGTTTCAGTTGCACCTCTCCAAGATGTCTCTTTTCAGGCAGCAAAAAGCTTTTGGAGCACTGTAAGTAATACTGTAAAGCTGTACCAGGAATGATTTATTGCTGTTATACTGACATTGACACTGGTGAGTGTGTCTAGAACACAAATTGTTAAAATAAGAAATAAAAATAAAAATGTTCTACTATGAATAAGTATATTTACAAATCAAGAGTCAGTTAATATATTCAGTTTTGGGGATTTACCTCAAATTCTTCTGCAAAGCCACAGTTGGAGTCTGCTCTCTGCTTCTTGTAATAAGCCTCAAAGTCCTCCACACTCACGGCCACACTTCTGCTCAAACCAAAGTTTAGGCAAGAGTGATAAGGTGCTTTCAGGAAAGAATTAATATTTGGAAGATATGCTGAAGCTTTGAGAGTTAAAAAATGTTGTACTTACACTTTGGCTCTATAAAAAATGCAAAAAAGAAGAATAAGTAGCAATTAGAGGAGTATATGATACATACAGTACAATAAAATGATAAAAATACAAATTTTACCTTAAAGATTCAATCTGGATGTCTGGTGATTCTTTTTTGGCTAGCCTACAGGAGTAGATAAAGTATATAAACTGTAAATATAGAATTTATTCATATACACGGATATTTAATGAACATGTTTTTATCACTGGTGATAGTGGTAAACCTTTTCCAGTAGATAATAAAGGCGATGAGGACACTGAAGAGAATGAGAAAAACTGCTACTGATACACCAACAGCAATAGTAGTGATAGCTACAATGTTTGGAAAAAATGTAACAGAGAAATGAAGAAAGATTTCATTAGGCATTCGTAAAATTAGAGTCGTTAAACATCCTTGGATCAATCTGTAGTATGAAACTATTGTGTGTGACACCATTCGATTGCGCCAAGCTAGCAGAATTTACTGGTATGGGCAGCTCTTTGATAAAAAAATAAATAAAAGTGTACTATCAACTACAGCTCAACCAATAAAAGCAGTCACAGACAAATGAATGCATAGATGTTTTTGAGCACCAATAAGGAAAAAGGATTTTATTAGGAACTGGTATTTTCTATAAAAGGCTTCTCTATGTATCTCTAACTCTAGTTTTTAAGTACATTAGAACACTAATATTATTACACAAAGCCTTACGTATGCCTGTTGAGCACTCGCGATACACAGGGATGCTGGGATTTCCATGGCTTAGAGTTATCACAGTCACATTATATATAGTATTGTGGTTAAGGCCAGAAATGGTATAATTGCAAGATGCAGTTGCACCGATGTTGTTTCCATTTACAATCATGTGGAAGCCAGTGTGTTGGCCATGGGGTGTGGTACATGACAAGATGATTTGTGCAGTATTGTCGTTTGGACCTTGACAGCCTAAGATTTTCACTGGGCTTGCATCTGTAGCATGAAACAGAAATAAGGAAAAAAACAGAACACCTCTAATGAACAAATCTGTCAGTTCTATTAAAGTATAATATTTCTATCAAATATCTAAAGAAAATACAAAATCTGTTTTTGACAAAGTTTTATTTGTCAAAAACAGATTGTTCAGTTATCTTTTGGTGACAGCGGAATCATCAAAATTACATTTTTCACATGTAAAAGATAGGTGACAAAATTTTGCAGAATTATTACTTAGTGTCCGTACTTGTGCATTTGGTGATCATTATTGGTGCACCCAGTGTTTCATCAGAGGTCTCTGTGGTGACATAAATACTGTAGCACTGACCAGGTTCCAGGTTAGTGATATTATACATAGTTTGTGTAACTGTGCAGTTCTGCATTTGGGAATTAGTTTGATTCCAGGACAAAAAGTATTTATAGCTGTTCTTGTAGTCAGGTGGATTGGTCCAGTTGACTGTGATGTGTGTCTCTCCTGGAGTGGCCGTGAGCTCCTGCACTGCCAGTGGTCCTGTCAGACATTAGAGAGATATTAAAGTTAATTCATACAGTAATAATGAAAGAGGAGACTGCCCAAACTTCTCCAATACTTCTTTACAGAAATGAAAGCCTTACTTGTTGTGACCATGTAGACATAAATCGTCTCACTCTGGAATTCCAATTCTCCCACAGTTTTCACAGAAATGTTGTAGGAAGTCCCAGAAGACAGGGAAGAGATGTTCATTCTGGTGTTTTTGGTATTTATATTGTTGGATTGCTGGGATGACGTGTAAGTCAGCAGGTAGTAGAAATTAGCACCGGTCATCAGAGGCGCCTCTGTCCATTGAGTTTCAATGGAGCTCGTTGTTTTATTCAGGATCTCAATCTGCCCAGGAGGGTTAGGGACTGGAGGAAGGGGGATGCAACATGTTACCTTATGTAAGTGCTCACTGTTTTAATTAATTTTGTTTTACAGTTGTTTAGTGTAGTAAATGGTAAATGGCCTGTATTTATATAGCGCTTTACTAGTCCCTAAGGACCCTAAAGCACTTTACATATCCAGTCATCCACCCATTCACACACTGGTGATGGCAGCTACATTGTAGCCACAGCCACCCTGGGGCGCACTGACAGAGGCGAGGCTGCCGGACACTGGCGCCACCGGGCCCTCTGACCACCACCAGTAGGCAACGGGTGAAGTGTCTTGCCCAAGGACACAACGACCGAGATTGTCCAAGCCTGGGCTCGAACCGGCAACCTTCCGATTACAAGGCGAACTCCCAACTCTTGAGCCACGATCGCCCACAGTGTCAAATTGAACTTTCTCAGTAACAGCTAAATTCTCAAAACCTGCTGAAGTAAATAAAAACATACATACATATTAACATAAATGTGACTACACTCAAAATTGAAGACACTTATTACTCACGAGTGGCGTTAGTAACAAGTTCAGATGACGCATTGAAGGGTCCACTTATTGTGGTTAACATGACGCTGTACGCCCGTCCAGCTGACAGGTTTTCAAACTGATAGGATGTATTCAAAGAGTTCAGGGATTGAATAGCTGTATTAGGTGTTAGGTAAAGACTGTAACGCTCCACATTTCCTTTAGGTTTCATCCATGTCACTGTGATGGAACTATTCGAATGACCTGAGATAGTGGGCTTTACTGTCTCGGGCTCTGTTGATGTGATGAGAGAACAAAGGATTAAAACATGTCAACAATGATAGTCTGACAAAGAAAACTAGAAATGGCAGCTGAGTCGTACTTGTGTACTGAGAAGTGCAGACTGTTTGTCCTTCAATGCCGTTTGCTGCCATGACAGAAACACAGAAGGTACAGTTGGTCCCAGGGTCGAGGCCTGAGATCTGTATGGTTTCTTGTTCCAGGGTGTTGTTTTTGTAGGCACAGCCTGATGTAGCAACTCGATATTTATAGTCATCCCTGTACTCAGCTGGCTTCGTCCAGTTCAGATTTATAGCAGTTGTGTTTATGGTTTCAGCCTTCAACTCAGTAATACCGTATGGCCCTACAAACACAGGAGGAATTATTATTATAATAACAACAGCAGTATTATAGGCACATGAACAGCACTTTTCTTATAACAGCTCTCTTTCACTGGAATAATGATAAACTACCCAAGCTCAGCTTTTGATGGTTGCTGACTTTGGTTGTTTTTACTGATTTAGTTTGAGTTTAGTATCGTGGATTTCCAGGAGAAGCAGAGATTCTGACAACATATACTGTACATACGTGTGAAGTAAGACACTGTCACAGGATCTGCCTGAGTGCCATCTGCTGTCAGTGTAGTGACAGTGAAGTTGAAGTTGCTCCCAGAACGAAGATTTCTGATTGTTGCATTTGTTATGTTCACATTTAATTCGTTTACAGTAACATTGGACTCGTTGGTGACCTGCACCCAGTAAGAGTAGCTTAATTTGCTCTCCTGCTGTGCCCACACCAAGGTCACTGCATTTGTAGTTATTTCTGTCTGAGTCAGATTGGATACAGGAAATGGTCCTGAGAAAATGAGACAGATGAAAAACCTGTGATTGCTGCTACATGTTCCTCACACTCAGAGGAAAAAGCAATACGATAAATAGTATTAACAATATTACTATTTTAGAAAAAGGACACTTGCATTACATCTATGTACTCAGCATGTCGTACACAGACAATTGATTCCAAACATTTTAAAATCTGTCTGAATGACATTTTGTTGTCACTACATCCCAAAAAAGTAAACAAAACAAATAAAAACAAACAAACAAAAACAAATACAAAGTGTACCAGTCAAAATAAACTCTGTCAGAGTGAAAGAAAAAGGATAAACTCAATAAAAATAAAATAATAAAAAAATCAGGAAAATCCACCATAACAATCACAATCTCATCAGCTGTTTGTCTACTCACTGGTATAGTTTACTGTTGTCACTGATGTACTTTTATATCCCATCACACCCACAGTAACAACAGAGATATTGAAGGGGCTTCCAGATGTGAGGTTTCCCAGCAGGAACCAGTTGTCTTTTGTCACAAAGGTGTTGTTAGTGGTGGTGACACTAAAGTTGTAATCCTTGTGGTTCATGTTCTGTGGAAGGGCCCAGGTGAAGTTGATGGAATTAACAGTCTGAGATTGCACTGTGATGGAGCCAGGAGGGTTGGGAACTGAAGAAGGAGAAGGATTTGATTATTTGATTGATTAATTCAATTAATTCAAACAATACATACATTTTTAAAATAGGTGTTGATAAAAATGCTGAATATACAATTTGAGGTAGAAGTCAGATTGTCAATGAAACTCACAAGTTGCGTTGCAGACAGGTGAACTGTTACTCTGAAAAGGTCCACTTTTGGTGATCAACTGGACACAGTAGATTACTCCTGGTGTCAAGCTCCCAAAGACTGTGTTTGTAGTTTGATTGTTTACATCCGTGCTGTTCACTAACTGTCCAGCACTATTTAGCACTGTAACACTGTAACTGGAGACCTTCCCTGTCACCAGTGTCCAGCTCACTGAAAGGCTAGTTGTGGTTCCTACGGCTGTAATGTTTGAGACTGCTTCAGGCACTGGATAAAAAAGAAGATTCAAATTAAATGAACATTAGTATTGGACTAATAGGGGCTGAGTAGTAACACAAAGAAAATGTCGACCAAATTACTTGTTTTCTGACCAAAAACATGTTTGAAGATTTACTTTTAGAAGTTTATATACCATCACTAAAACCCTGATGATGTTATATTTTGGCTCGGGGTTGAGACCTTTCACAGAAAGGATAGAAACTAAAGAGCAAAGGTATCGAGCTAACGGCTACTGATTGTCAAACAGGGAGGAAAACTTTTCATGAAAATTGTAGGCTTCAGCTTTACTGGAGCTTCTATATCTGCCTGCGGTGCCTGGAACTCTTTTCTCTTATCAGTTCCCCTTTAAGAAAAAAAATGCTATCCATATAAATAATACAATATCACATATAACCAAGCTCTGACAGTCTGTTGGGGATCACTATAAATTGCAAGATGGATTAGGAAGACTTGACTTTGAAGCACATTTCAGAGATTTTTAAGACATACTTGTGTAACTCTGTGTATTTTCCTCTGTGGATTTGACCCCTGCTATAACCGTGAACACAGAAAATGTGTACAGCTCTCCAGAGGTCAGATTATAGAAGGTGTACGTCTCATTCTTTGTCGAATCATTCTTTGTCGAATCATTCTTTATCTCGCTGCCACTCTGTCTCGCTATGACCAGGTAGGAGTAGGAAGGCTTGTAATCATTTTGTCTGGACCACGTTAGCTTGATGGAGGTCGTGGTCACACTCTCCACTGTGATGTTGGTCACAGGTTTGGGCACTGTAGAAATTTGCAGTTTGAAGTATTCAAGTGACAAAACACAGACCAAACAGCACTGATACTTCAACAGTTTGACTGAGTTTATATCTTAGTTCTTACTTGTGTAACTGAATCCCTTCTCCACCCTAGATTCACTTCCTTCTGCAGCTTTCGTTCTGACTGCGACACTGTAGTTAGTTCCTGGGTTTAGATTCAGTACAGAAGTGCTGTTATTGGTGATGTTTGTTGAGTAAATAAGTCCTCCTGTGTCATTGTAAGTGTCAACTAAGTATATGTAATACGATTTGACCCCCAGTGGATTTGACCAGTTCACATTTAGTGAAGTAGTAGATTCAGGGCTGACTATTAGATTCGTCACTGGGTTTGGTACTAAAAAAAGACAAATTGGAAAACAATGTTAAACAACTGAAGTTAAATGATTTGCACTTATTACATCAAAGATCCATATTACATGTCATACCAAACTCTTCACACCATATTTCCTCTCTATATCTAAACAATAAACTGTCCAACACTAACACTCATATTATATGTTGATTAATATGAAGTGTTCTTACTGGCCAATAAAACCATGCATTAAAAACAGACAGTCTGACGGCTTTGTTTTTCTCTTTGTTGTACTTACAGGTAAAAGAAGAATTCTGAACAATCGTGCTGCTTAAATTTCCAGGTCCATTAGTTTTTACTGTTACAGTGTAATTGGTTCCAGAGTCAAGGAGTGAAAGCAAAGTGTTATTTTGAGTGGAAGTTGTGTTTTGACTGAGACCACCCACAGCCTGATAGGTGATACTGTATATGATGCCTGGAGCTCCGATCATCTCATCAGGTGTTGCCCACTGCAGCTGGAGTGAGGAGTTGCTCCGGCTACTAAAGATGATGGACCCAGGAGGTTTGGGAACTAAAGGGTACAAATAACACCATCTTAAAGTCATTTTGCTATTTAAATAAGTACAAAACAGTTCAGTCCCATAAAAATGTAATAAAATAAGTATACTCCTATGTTTCCAGATAGGATGCCAACCTTTATCTACACAGTTACAAAAGGGATCAAATAATTTCAATGTGATGTTTTTTTGTTGTTGTTTCTGTTTTTAACTGTTTAGGTGTTTCTGCGTAACGCATTTGAAAACAGCAATTGAATATAATATTTTTGTACCCAATGTAACATTTATTATCACAAGAATCTCATTATTCATGTTTGAAGCATTCTAATGGTATCCACAGTTGTTCTCAGGGTCTTCAAAAACATGGTGATAAAGAAAAGAGATTAGGTTGTTGGGCTTACCAGTGGCAAATGACACCTGGTCAGATGTATTCCAGAAGTTTCCAGCAAAAGCAGTAACTGTGATATTATAGAGTCTCCCGGGTTTTAAATAAGTGAAACTGGTTGTTGTGGCTATTGTTTGACTGGAGTTTGTAAACACTAAGTTTTCATTGTATATATTGACCTGATAATAACTAATGTTTCCTCGAGGCAAAATCCAGCTGATGCTTAAGGTGTTGGTTCCTTGTGTAACACTAATGTTCCCAGGCTTTTCAGGCCCTGTAGAATAAAGATGTAAATGGCATTTTAATAACACAACAAATGTCCAAACGTTTGGAAAGCTATACTGTAAATATATTTTAATTTCCTTCACTACTCGAAATTATGGATAAGACATAAAGTGTAGAGCTTTAATTTGAGTAGGTTTATATTAACATTTAAAGAAGAAGTTGATTGATTTTAGTTGTTTCATTGTTTAGGGGAGTTTAAAAGTAACGACACAAGCGGCTACTTGACTTTGCAGTTTAAGCTTCACCTTCATTTAAGTCATAAAAATTAGATAAAGACAATCTGACTAAAGATCAGCACTGGTACAATCTCATCCTCTGTATTATTCAGTCTTTTTTATTTTTTTCTAACCTATATTGCAA